AGAGAGAGAGAGAGAGAGAGAGAGAGAGAGAGAGAGAGAGAGAGAGAGAGAGAGAGAGAGAGAGAGAGAGAGAGAGAGAGAGAGAGAGAGAGAGAGAGAGAGAGAGAGAGAGAGAGAGAGAGAGAGAGAGAGAGAGAGAGTGAGTGAGTGAATGGTTGTTTGTCTCTACGTGTCCCTGTGATGGACAGCAGACCTATCCAGGTTGTCCCCCGTCTCTCGCACAGTGACTGCTGGATATGGGCACTAGTGACCCCTGCGACCCAAAAGGAAAAGATAAAGCGGGTAAAAGAAAATGGACGGATGGATGTAAGTAGCAGAAGCATTTGATCAAATTTGTAAGGCTCTACTGATTTTTATGTAGAAGATCTGTTTAAAATATTTTAATTCCAGTTTTTGGTACTAAGTGGATACATACTTGGTATTTACCAGGTAGGCACCCAACACGTACAGTATTTGCACAGTTATGTAATTTTTGATTACAGATTTCATACCTGGCACCTACAAGGTATGTACCTTGTACCTGGTAAAACCTGCTACTTATAGGGCCAGTACCAGGCACATACCTGGTATGCTTGTTTGTTTTTTATGTCAGTGAAGTTCTCATGTTACCTGCAGCTTGTTCTTACCTTGGTTGCATTAGGAAACAAGACCGGAACCAGTCGGAAGTTCAGACAACCTTGTTGGATGAACTCGTTTTGAATCTGTGCCAATGAAAAAGACAATGTGACATAAAAAAGCACCGTCACCTTTTGATTTGTTAAAATTTGAAATATGATTGCTTCACATTTCTAATCAAAAGACAAAGAAAATATGCTTTAAATGGTTCCTGGCAAACACATCATGTTTTGGGAGTGGTGATGCAGAGGTTAGAGAAGGTGGGCCTGTGACCGGAAGGTCACCGGTTCAACTCCCTGGACTGACAACATAAAAATGTGGGTGGAAAAGGCAAAGCACCCACACCTGCCTCCACCCTCATTTGCCCTACTCTGGGACCTTGAGCAAGGCCCTTAACCTCCACCATCTGCTCCCGAACAGGTCTCTCTTGAAAATGGGTCCTTGTGACTCAATGAGACTACCTGTATAAATAAAGCGTAATAAAAAAAATTTAAAAAACTGAACAAGTTAGTTGCAGTGTCCCTGGCAGGCTGCAGGTGCGGACACCGGGTGGAGATACAAAACTTTCAAGTACTCAAAAAAAAATAAAGGTTCTCCTGCCCTGGCTGGCATGTAGGAGGGGGTGGTGTAATGAGGAAAAAAAAAAACACCCAAGAGGAAGGTGTTTCAAGTGAATGTAGAGCTATCTACGATCTTTCAGTAAAAGGCTCTAAATGCTGTAGGCCCACTCTTTCCTCCCCTCTGGCCACTGATTCAAAAACTTGGCGTCAATTTACTGTTTACTTCTGTCTGTCACCACAGGAGTAAATGGCACATCATTTAGGCATGTTCTACTTCTGGAGTTCTCTAATGCCCCTTTTCCATTAGTATCTTTACTACAAGTACAGAAAAGTTCGAAGCGGATCGGCACGGTACGAGTTGTGTTTCCATTATACTTTCAGTAACGGTTCAAGTGGGCAGGTTCAGAGTTCAAAAACTGATGTCATGCACCTTACCAGCTGGTAGCGGTAATGCTGATGGTAAGACCCTGAAACAGGTTTTAGTACAGGGTGAGAATTTATTGTGAAATTTCTGGTAAATTCAAAATATTACATATTAAAATGATCAAATTAAACAAATAGATACTGTATATATATATATATATATATATATATACATATATA